TCAATTTCTCACCAGCTCTTGCCATACTAAAGCAAGCAGAAAATGCTCTTCTAATTCTGAAATTCACTTTTGAAATTTAAATCACAAAAAGAAACAGAAAGAAAATAAACCAAAAGAAGCATTTTTTAATATGGTAATGTAAAAAAATAATTCCTTTGTATGCTGCAAATATATAAATAAATATTAAAGCTTTTTCTCATTTAAACTGCATTTGGAATATCCTACACCATCAGTTAAAATGACAGAAGAATACAGCTACCTGAAGCCTATGTAAAGAATCTCTCTTTAACAGGCTTTTAAAGATGGAAGCAGAGCATCTAAAAAGCACATCCCTGAATAATTTAAGATTCCTGGCATCTACATTGAAAGCGCCCCTTTACTAAACCTGGAGGAACAAAAAAAGAGGTAAGAGAAAGAATAAAGGTCATAAAAGATCAGTGACAAAATCACTGCTAAAAAAAGTATTTTTTCCTATCTTAAAATTTAATCAGACGTGGAGAAGCATGGATTTTTACAGCCAGCCCTTCCCATTTACTGTCAACAGATGTGGTCTAACACTAACATTTACCCCTTGGCAGTGGTAAGGTAAGGCTGTGATGATCTCGGAAACAATACAGGAACAAAATAAACAAGAAGGAAGGAAACTGATCAAGAAGGTGAAGCACAAGACAAATCCTCATTAACTGAAACTCTGTAGCAAATAAAAGCCAAAATCTAGAATTTATCATTAATTTTAAATACATAACTAACACTTCAGGGCAAAAGAAAAAGAAAGAAAACTCTGAAAAAGTAGATCCATGCAAATACATATTACTAAAACAAAATAAACCATGATTATACTATTAAGACACCAGGCAATCAAGTTTGGTGCCGAGTAATCCCCATTCATAACCAACTGTACCAAGGTCGCGTTACAATTCAGTGTTTTGTTGACAATACCAAGTTTTCTTTGTCAACTACATCTTTTAAACATCAGCAAATCCTACCTACTTCCTCTTGTGTCTGTCACAGAAACCATCCAAACAATGGGAGCAAGTAATCTTCACCTCAACAGCTATTGACTTCGAGCAAACTCAACACTTTATTCATTTTTGCTCCTGGAGTGGCAAGTCCTTGCTGTTCTACGGTATCTGAAAACCTTGCCACTGATTACAACCAGTTCAGGATCTGGCTCCTCCTCAGTATATGAAAATGGACTTGAAACAATAGGAAACCTTATCTGAGGAAGTTAACACAGGTCACCCTTCTCCAAATGTGAATACTGACTCTACATGGAGGGAAAACCGGCTTAATTAGGTTTTATGAATTGGATAAGAATTAGGAAAAAGTGTCACATGAAGTATGTTGATTAAAAAGCACACCAAAACATTCACCTTTTTAGAGCAAACAGATTTTTACATCTTTGCTTTACACAACTTTTCATGTTATTGTTAAAGAACAGTCATTAGGAAGTTACTTGAATGTTCAGCAAACAAGTGACCCACATTATAGAAGCAGATTCAGAAAGAGACAAAACCAACCTGCCTAAAACAGAATTTTTGGGAAAAAGCCTGTAGAAGATTCCTCACTCTTTCTGTGGAACTTTTATTTCTTGTGAGAATGAAATTGAAAAACTAAGAAAATGACATATTTAATATGCAATTCAATATTTTTCCAGTATAATTTCAAACAAAAAAAACCTTTTTTATACACATTGTTGCCTCTTAGAACTCAAGAATTTCAGTGCTCAAAGAAAGTAGAAAGGTACAAGAAACCAAACTGCATTTTGTTTTTCAAATTTCAGCCAAACAAGCTAGTTGTTATCTACTCTAAATTCCACTCACTCTAAATAAAATTACAAAAAGGTTCTTTGTGATAGATATGCTAAGTTAAAAATATTTAATAAAAGAGTAAGAGAAGATGGGACTATGATGACAAAAATTAAGGTTTGAAAGTGCAGTAAATAAGAATTACTAAGATTCTTATGGTAGGAAGGGCCTCTTTCCAGAAGACATAAAGGAGTAACAAAACAAATTTTACTTTTAAACAGCTTAAAGCTTGACATGCTGGATCCTTAGCAAATAGAAATGTGCATAATTCCAATAACGTCAATAATACCACATGAAGTTATGCTGGCTGTTGATCTCACCCATAATATCTAAAGCCCACACCTAACTATAAATACACATATTATGTTTGCTTTTCAAAAACTGATTGAAGTTTAATAGCAAGTCATAATTGAAATATTCATGGTCCCAAGCTAGCTTTGAAGTTAAATCCCTGAGTGGACAAAGTGGACCGTATATCTAATCTAAACTAAATGTTTCCCCTAGTTACTAATACCAGTGCAGTTTCACTAGTTAAAATCATTATTACAGAAAATAAAGGCAAAAGCCATAGCACTTCAAGGGGCATTTAATCCTGCTCAGTGCTAGGACACAGCACATGATCTTGGCATAGCAGCTCCTCCACTATCTTCCACGTCTTGTTTCAAGAGCTGATTTCTTCAGATCACCAAGCTGGTGATTTCTAGGCAAGAAAATTTTAACCCCACTCTTCCAAAACCGCCACTGTTACTGAAGCTTCTTAAGTCTCCTTTTAATGTTTCAATTTAACATCACAACTTTAAAGCCGAGACGGATCTGTGCTGTTAAATTGAAAGCCCCTTCCTCAAGCAATGAAGCTATAAATAAAATGTCATTATTTTTTCTACCTGGACTGCAGATTGTAACAGTTTCACTGGAACACTTCAGTTTTCTTTACACACTTATACACACCCCTATCTGTATCCAGCTCCATAAATGAAATTTCTGTAGCAAAGCACAGTTTAGTTTAGATGCCTTAACTCATGTGGCTGTGACCCCCTTCATCGGTATACACTTGTGTCCTTCTTCATTTTTGCCTCAATTAAATGTATTAAACACTAAATCTATGACAGCTTGTCCATTCTCTCCCACGTAAAAATAAAAATAAAAATAAATAAAATAAAATAAATTTAAGTAGATTTTTAAAAAAGGAAATCAAGGGCTTCTGCCAGACTGCTGCCAGTAATGGGCTCAGTACTGCACAGTTATAGACTATATAGAGCAAGTCATTATAATGGAGTTTGAAGGCAGGCTTGGATCTAGAGAAAACAGTCACAATTGTGCTACTTCTGCAGCAGTGATTTCCCCATGGCTTTGGTTATGTTGATCTCCGTTCCTGTTTTGCAGAGCCCACAGCTACGTACATTATATCCAAGTATATGTCTGAAACTCCATAACCTTTGCCAGAGTAACTCTCCAGGAAGCTCTCCTGACCTTTACTTAAGATAAAGAAACCAACTGAAATGAAGAAATAAATGTTCCTGTGATAATACTGTGTAAGCTGTGGCTAAGGAACTTTGAAACACAACAGCATTAATAAAATGGCCATATTAGGAAAATTTCTTTATCACCAAAAGCAGTGGCCAGCTTCAATAGGGCTTTTCATAGTCCACAAATTATTTTCCAAGAATCATTGACTTGTTGTGTAACGATAATTGTGGGTTAATAGAAGCCCCAGTTGAACTTTGTACTCTTACACAAAGGCATATGCATGAATGACTATATTTGGACACAGATCCATATGTAAAGTAACATATCTGATTTTCAATGTATAGATTGTTCTCTCTTTGGTATTATAATTTAATTTAAAAAAAAAAGTCTTTGAAGACAGAGGTAAAAAAAAAAAAGACACCTCTCTTATAAAAGGCAATTTTCAAAGTTTAAAAGTGACCACGATTGTTGGTTAGCATATGTACAGGAACTTTGAGAGAAAAACTAATTTAAATTGTGGCTGTGCAGGGATACTATCCTGCACAGCAACAATTCCAGGGGATTAAAAAAAAAGTGTGGGTTTTTTTTTGCCTCACAAAATGCTGTTATGAATACTCTCAATGAATTCTTCTTAAAACAGCTACTTAATAACTGGAAAAATAATCTGAAAGATTTATAGGAAAATTCAGTAAGTGTGATTTTTTTTTTTTGGTTTAAAGACAATTTAAATGCAATTCTTCCTAATCTCTCTATATTAATCTTAATATTTCAGTATATGAATGCCGTGTTTAACAACTATCTGGTTTAGTGAACTGCAGTAATTCACTCCAATAGGATAAACTATTTAAGTTATTTAGCAAAATGGAAAAGCTACCATGTGTTTTGCTACAATCAGCAGACACTTTTTAGAACAGATCTCTTATGATGGGGAGAAGCCTTGCCATGAAGAACAGAACTACAAAAAGAAGCTCCAAGAAGCCTGTGACTGTCAGACGTTTCTCATGCTATGCCCTTGCAATCACCCAATACCACAGAACATCAGGTACAGCAAAATGGAGCCAGCATTTAACTGAATAGGAGCATTTTAATACGTAAAGGCAAGACTTGAGGAGTACAGGCTGATAAAAATAAGTTTAGACTCTTGTTAAGTAAGTAGAAAACAATGCAAAGCACCCAGCTTAACATAACTCCTGTTTTCACCGATTAACTCAAAGGAAAATATTGTTTGAGCAAGAAAATGCCACATGCTAAGACAAATTTAGAATGCTTCAGCTGTGGCTGTATTTGACTGATTACATGGAGAATTTTATTTATTTGTTCATACACAAAATGTGTCGAGCAGCCTGACTTCTGCTCAGCAGAGAGGCATCCTCCGTCCCACAGTATCTGATCTGTACCGGCTAAAAAGCTCCTCTGCACACTCTACAGACAAAGAAACTCCTTCCACCTCCACAACCTAAGTTGTTCTGTGCTTCCCTGGGGCTGTGGGTGGAAATGACAGGGAAGGGCCCCGTGCTAAAGGTTATACCTTCAGCCCAAAGAAGTTCTTTTGGCTGCACATCAAAATGCCACTTGCTTTATCTACTCATCACACTGATGTCATTGATCAGCAAAAGGAGCTATCACATGACCGCAGATGACAAAATAAATAACAAGTATGAAGATGCAGATATAAACATACAAATATGTATATTTCAAGAAAGTGATGATTTGTAGTATACTTACAACTTTCAGCCTGATAGTCTGGCACAAACTGCTCATCATTGTCAGGTACCTGAGCTGAAGAAAGGAAAACAAAAACAAAACAAACAAAAACCAAGAATTAAAATAAGCTATTAAAGCATAAATAGACTCTTGTGCTTAATTTAAAGCACAGTCAAATTTAAAATTATGATTTTTTGTTTCTTCATTGTTGGGTATGAAAATCAGGCAAGCGCATCATTTTAATATCAGATAAGCCCTGGGGTGAAGCTGTGTGGTGCAGCGTGAGTCCAGAGAAGTCCTGGCACAGAACAATGTGAATGGGAGGATGTGGGGACTCACTGGCCCTGCCTCACTCCCTGTACCAGGATCTGGACCCACCAAGCCACTGGTAAAACTCATCAGTGCTTATTTTCAAAATATCTGCACATCAAGTCCACATAAAACCAAATCCCACTGATTAACACCAATGCTTCTTTAACCTGAAACTACCACACCTTTGGCTTACTTAAAAGTGATTCCAATTGTTCATGGCAGTCAGCCAACACAGTAGGTATTTTCTGTTATTATTTTAAATATTCAAAAAGAACTATTTTACCAGACCACAGAATTCCTGGTTCAAAGACAACATTTCAGACATCAAAAAAGATTTACTTAAAACAAAAATCACGATTAACATCCATTTGCCTTTTGTAAGATCATCTTTGCTTTTAGGAAACTGCCATCACAAACCTGAGCTATTAAATACAATCATTTCACGGTCTGCTGATAGATAATTTTGCTCCTCTGGTACCACATTTCCTTTTCGTTGTATATCTAAGACATTATCCATCTCTCAAACTGTGTGGTAAACTCATTTAAACCATTTAAGCTGAAATAGCACTAAACGTTTATTATAGATGAATACATTCAAATAACTGCAGAACATTACACAGAAGCGGCGTCCTCGGAGCATGACTGTTTCTGGTACACCAAGAGAGATCCCGCTTATCTTCTCTTAACTTTGTCATCTTTTCCTCAGCATCCACACTAACTGGAATCACCGCAGCAAAGCTGCGTAAAATTCCCGTTTAAAAATACTTTCCACAGTTCTTGTCCAAACACAAGCAAATAATTCATACAATCTTAATTAAAAGTTAACATCTGCCATGATCTGGTTACCCAATAAGATTGGAAAGGTAAATGCTGCTTATATAATCTTTTATCGAAACTGTGATTATCAAATGTTCTCAAATACATTAATTGATAAAATGTGACTTTCGTGCCCTTCAGAACATTTTCTAGGATAGGAAATGCATATTCCCCATTATATATGTGCAATTTCTACTAGTTTTTATATAATTTGTTTGAATTAAAAATATATATTTAATTAAAATTACTCACAATTATTTTGAATGTGCATTACAGTGCTCTTCATGGACCAGATCTCCACTCCTTTACTCAGGAAATATTTCTAATGACTTAACTGGAAGTTTTTTTCCTGGGTAAAGAGTTCAGAATCAGGCTCATAATACTGAAAAACTATTTGCTCTGGGTTTTAAAATAAAATCCTACTGTCTTAATTGCAGCAAATACCCCTTAAAAACAAATGACCTTGGAAAGGTGCAAATACAGATTTGAAAAGAAGTGTGAGATAAATACACTAAGTGTAATTAGCCTTACTTTGAAAAAAAAAAGCATGGCTACTGTTGCTTTGTTGTTCAGGTTTCTAATTTAAAAAAAAACTGAACAAAATCAAACCTGACAGTAACTCATCCTTTTATAATAAACCAGTACCTCTGAGGACATATTGGCTCCTCAAAGTTTGAAGTTGTATAAAACACTACCAACCCAAATATACCCAGTATTTTGATGTGTTCAATTTCTCTTTCTTCTAGAGAAACCATACAAGTTTTACAAAGAAAGAACTCAGGGACAGAATGAGCCCAAATACTCACACTCCACAATTTCTGACATTTCATGCAATTGACTACACGTGAATGTTTGGCATTTTCCTTACAAAAATGCTAACTATTTGATTGTCACAGAAATATCTGATTATGAAATCAAGATCTTCTACTAGAAGTTAGTACCTAAGATTTCTAATAAGTCCACTTGTTTTTGAAGCATCTGTGAGTACATTCAGAGTTAAAGTAATTGAATTAAGTAACTTGTTTACAGAAGACACATCCCACACATTTTTCTTAAGCCACGCATCATTTTCAAATGCAGCAGGAAGACTAGCAGAATTAATTTTTTAACATGCACCTGCATTTCATATATACATGTATATGTAGAGAGATATATAGATATAAATTTGTGAATCTAGGATATCTTTAAAAGCCTCAAAGAAAACAAAACTGCCTTCTGTTTAAATAAAGAAGCTACATTTAGTGGCTGCAGAACAGGGATAGAAATCTCATATAACTTTCCAGAGAGCATCCTCTGTGCACTGGACAGCTTCACCAGTGCTTCATTCTGGTTTTATCAGTTTAATTTGACTTAGTCCAGAAAAAAATCTGTTGTAGAGATTTATGTATATATCAGTAAGTAAGGTCCTTTTTTTTCTCAGCCATAGTACTCTACGAAAAAAATAAAATATATCTGGTTGAACTGTCATAGAAACTACTACATTACTGCCATTACCACTGATTTGCTCTTGTTTATGGAGTAAACAAGAATAATGTACTTTTTTCATGGACCCCCAAAATTTATGAAGGCGTATTTAATAGAGATGGAGGACATCATTTTATCGGCACTCTAGAAACAGGTGGAGACTATGCTGTCAAAATTTACTTTAAATGCAATATTAACATAGCCTTAAAAGCCTCTGTAGAGAAAGGAACAATGCAAGTTAAAGAGTATTTAAAACCCTACCAAATATAAACATAACAAATAACAGCAACCAAAACATTCAAACTAGGAACATGCATTTCCAACTGGAATGCAAATTTAGTAGCATCAGTACCTTAGAAATGAACCCATAAGCCTATATGGAGAAATTAAAAGGACCTGCTAACGGGTGGAAATGAGTACTTATTTCTTTCACTTAATCTGATATTATTCCTAAAGAAGCAAAACTGAAATTGCATATGCTCATACTGCTGAAATGCAAGCACTCATCGTCATACAGACTCCTTCCACCAGCATCTCGCTGTGAGATGCTGCATCACTGGGATACACCATCCCATCGCTCAGGCAGAGGAGGGCTTTTGTACCTGGATTTTGGATAATCACAGGTAGATTTTGCAGCAAATTAAATAGGCAGGTAAAGACACCTCAACATGAATGTCTGAAAGGAAAATGTAACTTGCAGCATCACAACTGTCTACACATTTATATACATGGCCATTCATTTCCTCTTTTATTCATAAATACTGCAACTTAGCAAGGCCACCATAAAAGCTTCTGTTAACATACACAAGTCACAATGCAGAAATCAGCAAAACTTTTTTTTTTACTTTGCCATTCAGAGGGAAATTGAAAAAAGATATCTGAAATGATCACCCATCTGAATGAGAACATTTCCTTGAGCTACTTAATTATGGGGGTCTGAGAAGGCAAGTGTATTCCAAAAGACTGATAAAAGGTTTTGAAGGATATTAAGCACGTGGCTTTTACTGCTTATAGCAGAAGCAGCTACATGAGTTCATTCCACATTCAGAGCCATCAAGCCTCAGACTCCTGAAGCAGACAACATCTGCAGCATAAGCTATCCAACTCAGCCTAGAATATTACCAAAAGTTTTTTTTTCCTTCTGACTATAGCTATAATGTCTCAAGAGGATTTGAAAAGCATGCAGAAATTTAAATGACGATCTTGAAGATGTTATCAGTTTAGGTTTTACAGTTTCACTACCTACTGAGATATGCAAACATTCACAGCACAAAAATACTTAATGCTTGTTTGTAGTTTTTAAAGCTTTAAACACTCTTTGAAAGGCTGAACTGACGGTTCATTTTGCAAAGGGAAAGCAATTTGGAGGGAAAAAAAAGTTTAGAACTTGGGCCTGTTAGCTTGCTTTCATCGCAAGTAAACAAAAAGTTCCCATTAACAAGCATCCAGGACAAAAGGAGTTAATATTTAATTAAAACCAGCTCTATCCACTGTAACAATGACCTGGAGCCAAACAAGGCAGAAGATGTATGAGTCATTCTTTCTGCCAGTGAATGAGACAGCTGATCTCCGAAGCAATTCCTCAAGACAAGCAGTCAGAACTGGAGTTCTGCCTCCATTCACAAAAACACAGTCCAGCATGAACCATGTGGCCCCAACCACAAGCTTTTCATGTCACACCCTTCCAGAAAGCTACAGCAAAGTAAACTTGAACTTTAGGCATAAACACAGTGATTTCACTGCTTTGTCTCAAGATGCAGCACAGACCTGCTGAGGAACGTTATTTAATAAATGAAAAGTTAAGCAAACTATAAAGGGTTTAAACTTAACTCTTCCTTCTCCCACTCAAAAACTGCTTCCAAAAGCTCAGCTGCACTCCAGAGAAAGGTGTTCTTGTTTAAAAAAAAAAAAAAAAAAATAACAAACTGGAAACCGTCCAGAAAAACAAGAAGCTGAAAATGCTTCACTTAAAACTTTATTTTGGGTAGCAGAACACTTCCTGCGGTACTGTGTGCTCTGACCTCATGCTTCACTTTTAGAGCTAAGCGCAATTAGTTTTAAAATATCCATCATTTATTCAAAGTGGCAAAAGAAATTGAAATTGACAGGAAATTCTATATGAGCAGTAGCATTTTGGCCTTAGCTAAAATAAGACTTTGGGCCTCAACAGTAATGGATCTATTGAGTTTTCTTTGATTCATTGTCACTTCTGAATATCTGAAAGATTGGCTAAATTGTAAGTATTCCTGCAAGAGCTGGGGTGGGGGGGCGGTGTTGGTTGGTGGCTGTACTTTTTCCACGGGAACAACTGTTTCTAACAAAGAAGCATCGGGAAGGTAAAACAGTGATAAATTTCAAGATGGCAAAAAAAATTATTACCCATAAGCACTGGATTTGCTGTCAAAACAACCCCAAACCCTTTTTACATAACGTGAGATGCTCACACTAATAAACTTAAATGCACTTCAAAACTAGTTCCAGATCTCAAAATTCTTCCTTATGTGAATAATCCCTAGGAATATGAGGATGGGTTTGCAGAATCTGCTCTTCATTTGCTGCTATACTAAAAATGAGAAAAAAAGTTAGTTTTAAAAGGAGTTCTCACATTTAGTATTTTGCTACATGCCTCATGGTTAGCAAAACCCTGTCCGCATTTAAAAATTATGATTTTGAGTAAAATTATTTACTTTACTAGCAAACAAGAAAAACATGAAAAAGTTTATTACTACGCAGACTTTCAGACTTGTAGATTTTTGGTGGGTTTATTTCTTTTGGATTTTTATATTTTAGTAACATCCCTTGACTTCCTTTTTGCCTATTCTAACTGTTCTTTTTTTGTGCAGATATTTATGATCACGAGCTGAATTAGAAAATCAAATCTATCAGATCACTAGACTCCACAAAAAAAAAAGAGAATAAGATATTCTCTGTATTACAAACTGAAAGTGTTTTCACTTCTTTTAAGAGTGTTTGTTCCTGTCAGGCAGATTTCAGTCATGGAGGTACTAAATTATAATTTCTTGACTCTTATTGCTCCTATAAAAATGTGGACAGGTCTTGAATATGGCTACATACCATCTGCCTTACACTGGCTAAATTTTACAACTTTTTGGCAGAAAAAAGCTAGTTAACCAGATTAAACAAAGCCACTCTAACTAGACTAATATTTGAAGATCCAGTACTCTCTTTTAATAAAAGCAATCCTTCAAGACCTAGAAACTATTTCCTTTCACACCTCCTCATTCAAGAAACAAACTACAAGTCAACACTTGCTTAGACAGCACTGCAACACTGGTGGGACCTTCACATTAGGAGAACAGAGGGAAGAAACTTATTTCCTCAAGTTCATTCCAAAGTTGGCCAATAATTATTTGAGAGAAATTACTTACTTTCAGATACTAAGAAGGGGCTTCTGAATACCAGTAGCTGAAGAAGCCATCCCCTCACTTTAGCAGAATTGCGGTAGAGGCACGAACCCGTTACCTGTAGCAGTTATTTCAGACCCCTTTCTGTTTACTTAATCTTTTTGTATGTTTTTCAAATCACACAAAAAATGTTATATTTTAGTTTTTAGTATATTGCCATCTGAGAAGCTTATTAGCTTGCTCCAAGAAGCAGATCTGGTACATAAATTTATTATTTGTCTTCACTTGGGATGCATTTTATGTATCTTAAACAAGCTGTAGGAGAAATTAGTGTCTAAATAATATTTCAAAAAAATTGGAGTTCTTTGTTAATCTAGTATTCCCCAAAACCAAACGCTTTCAGCATAGAAAGGAGACACTCACTCACTCACTCACTAACAATTTGTTCTCTCTACATTTTGTTCCACAAGTAGGTAGAGCTGCCATGACAAGATAACATTAGATTAATATTTTAACCACTTTTTTTCAAGTCACTGAACAATTGCTACCTGACAGAACCAATCTGATTCCAAACACATGGAATCAATAAAGTCATTTTATAGTATTATCATGTCAAAATGTTGCCACTGAGTTATTTAAATAGACAAGATAAAACCCAAATAATATTTGTCTTGGTTAGCAATAGGCAAGTTTAACTATTTCAAGGTTGAACATTGAAAAAATTATTAAAGGCTTCCCATTTTCAATTTCTAGCATGAGAAAACTTATACTCTATCTTCTGTCTTGCATAACAATTGACACAGGGCAATCTTAGAGTTGTTTTACATCAAAATAATTTAGATTCTTTCTTACATATATAATACAACACAGAATAAGAAGTAAAACTCATTTCCATAAAAATCTACTATGCAGCTAGTGGAATACATGTGTGAGCTCTCTGTAAGTAGTATTCAGCTTGTTAATTATGTAGTGATAAAATATTAAACAGGTTACACAAATTGTTTACATTTGGATTAATTCTTTAATACAAGTGAACCTCCCACCATTTTCAAGAGGAAAAGAATACATATCTTTTCTGTTTACTTGTTTACCACCAACTTGTCACAGGTGATACTAACTGTAAAAGTCTTCAGGCTAAAATATGTGATGCAATAAGGACAGCTTCAAGAAAAGCAAAACAAAGAAAAATCCACAAGCATTATTTTTGTGTGTCATAAAATGCAACTCACTTTCTTCTCCTAGCAAATAAGTAGATTTTTGACCTGGTTACACCCCAGTGGGGATCTGAACTTGTGGGAGAAACCTGGTCAGCTGCCACTGCTTTTCTTAAAAAGGGTCAAGATGTTTTAAAATTTCATGGTCATTTCCCTGGCTCCAGAGCATTATGAAAAGAAATATGTAAACAGTACTGATGCTGCCAAATTGGCAGACTTCTAGCCTAGGAAGGTCCAGAAGAACATAAATGGACACATCTAGCAATGGGTAAACAAGTCTGATTTCAAAATCTGTTTCCTGGCTAAGCTCATCCATATAGACATTTGAGCAGAGCTACAATGTCCTCAAACACTACCATATTATAAAGACTAACAGAAGTTGTTAAGGGTGTTTTTTTAATTTTTTTCCATAAAACTTTGGGATGAAGCTAACAGTTCAATATTTGATGTTGCCATCTTAACTTTTTATTTCAGTTTTAGTTTAGCCTTATGAAAAGCTGTGCAAAGTTTGTTCCATGAAACAGCTCAAACCACGGCATGGCCCGAAACAGAGATTTCTTAAAGTATTTCTAGAACACTGCAAAACCTGTAATATTTAGTTGAAATATAGCGTGGACAAATAGTGTTAGTTAGGTTTATTTCTTTCTGCAATGTAAAAAAAAAAGGAACTTTTTTTCATTTTTAACTATTTCCCAGATTATTTTATCTGCCTTTATAAAGGTTATTCAACCTAGCTGACATGGGACTAGACACCTTCTCTCTCAAAACCTATCTAAAGTTATTCAGTGAAATACTCTCTGATAAAGAGGTTAAAAGGCTCTCAAACACATGATTCTAGTCTAAAATAAGCAGTGCCTTCAGAAAAAAAAATTGCCATAACATTAATTTATGTATCTATGGAAATGATCAAATTTCAGTTTTAAATTCTGCATTATTTTTCCAACTTCCATTATTATCTGCACATGCATTATGAATCTGCCTGCATTGTTTCTGACTTAAGATCAAAGAAATTTAATCATTTTTCAGAAACAAAAACATCCATGCCAGTGAAACAATCAAACTGAAAGTTAACCTCTAAATTAAAATGTAGTATCTTTTGAGTAGCATTTTAACATGTTTCAGATTGCTGACATGAATGAGATGATACAATGTAAAGAGCTCCTTAGGAAAATCACCACAGGGAGACAGCTACAGCTGACCATTATACTACAAAAATGATCTTAGTTCAGGACAGCCTGTTTTCAATTATTAGGGAAGAATTTTATTAGTTCATAAAAATATATCCTCTGTTCCATTAATTTCAGGAGGGGTTTTTGATTATACACAGAATAACCCCATACTAAAACTAATACTAGCAGAATAAAAATGTCATCAAAATAAACAATACCCCACAACTTACTAATAGGTAAAAGAAACCACACAAAAAGCTGTTAAAACAGAATCAGGGTATAAACAAGTAGTCAGCAATATTTCCCTTTTTATGAACACAAGCAGTAAGCATTTCACCCCAACATCCCTCCTTTAAAACAAATACAAAACAAAACAAAAAAAATCAAAACCCCAAAAAACCCCAACAACAACAACAAAAAAAACCAAACCAAAAAAAAATAAAAAAAAAATAAACACAGACCATCTCTTCTATAAACAGCTGCACAGATAGAGTATAAGTCCTGTACAGGAAAAAACTTAAACATTTGTGAATACTCACATTCATTTAAATCAGGATGAATCTGGAGAGATTATTTTAACTTGCATCAAATTTATGTCTATTTCAGATACAGAAGTTTACATAAAAAAATTGACCAGAAATATTGAGAAGAGATAATGCACAAAAATCTTTATGCTTCAAATAAACAGTACTGCAAATATCAAAGAAAAAAAATCGGAAAATGTTGCTGAAAACAAATAGACTTGAACAAGCAAAAAGGTACCTTGCAACTTGTTAAAGTTCTAATGCAGCAGCTCATTTTTGTTACTGTTAAATGAATATCTCAACAACTACTCGAAATTCAGATTTGTACATTATTGTTCTTAAATCTTGTCTCTTCACTAGAATGTGCTCTGCAAGATTATTTGAAATACTTAAAAGAGCATGCATGTGTAAAACAGACCGATGTTAGTTTTCTAATCACCCGGTACAGAATCTCACAACTACAAATACAAAGACAAAAATAACATGCAAAATATTTAAAGGTTTCTGAAAAAAAAAAGAAAGAAAGAAAAAGTACTGGTTAAGCATTTCATACACACCTAATGTTCTGTGTTGTGAACAAGGTGGAAAGAAGACACTTGCACTTAAATCTTGAAGCATCCCGTCCCGATGAACCCAGAGAAACTAATTTCTGCCATCAGAAAAGTACTCCACCAGAACACCAAATAATTATATGTGCTGCTGAAAAGGAAACAGCAAGCCCAGTTCTGGCTGTATGTAGTCTCTCGAGGTACAATAATATAAACCTGATCAATTGCAATTAAAATCTGAACAGAGGCTTAGAACTTGAAGTCTTGGTGCATTAGTTCTTGCCAAAAGCAGATGTGATTGTGAGCTGGAAGCAATTTCTCCTGGTAATTTGTGATGACACTGGGTAGAGCAGCCCCAGAGTCCCCAAAGACAAACTCATCAGAGGCTCTAATGTATGCATGACACATGAGGTGGCTCTTTTAGAGCTCAATTAATTGGGCTGAACATTAAGACAGCAAGTTCAGGACTTTTTTTTTCCCCTCCAGAGTTGTTTTTCCTCTTTTTACAAGCAGTTTTTTCCCTTACCTTCTGCAAGCCATGTCTCCTGTAATTGGCTCAGATCTTGAAAGAGTTCTGCAAAAAGATAAAGACATGGATAAAATTTTATCTCTTCAAAAGATTAAAATAGGTTCAAAAATATATTTTTCCTTAAGAGCAATATACATTAATTCTGGTTTGGCAGTCAAGTGCACAGAAAAAGCAGGCATTCTGAGGCATCAGTTACTGATTTTTCTACACCTATTAATAAAAACCCAAGCACTTACTGTATTTTCAGCTCCTGAAATAATAACCAGAATCTTAACAGAGCTCTCTAGTATAAAAGGCTCATTCAGCAACACATAGAAAAGTTAAAAATCGTAATATTTCTTACAGGTGAACAATTTCTTCTTATACAATTCAGGCCTCCTCCTGTAATATCTGCCCCAGATAAAGCTTGCTTGGACTTCCACAGTTCTGCCTGAGCAACAACTGAGAATTTTTAATAGTAGGGTCATAACTATCATATAAAAATTCTGAAGCCGTGACCTGAGATGCTGCAATAGCAAAGAGAAATGGGAAATCTTTTGTACTTCCCCTAATGTTTTACTTCATATGACATGAGAACCACCACTATTTCCTCTATGCTGTACTCACTGTACTTCTTTAAAACTAAAACCACCTTCTTCATGGACTGAATTTTGCAGCAGCTTATCTTTTGCAATGCACTGAAATCAGTTACTTATAATGGGTGTAAAGCAGAGCAGCATTCAGCTTACTTGCAAGCCTCAGAAACTCAGTTACGAAAATTCTGTTTGCTAAGACTAAGTAGGATATTTGAACTAACAAATGGTTTATTTTTAATTTACTGTATTTTGAGAGAGACTTCCTTTTTTATGAATGCTGACAGATAACTATTTACATATACTTAAATGACAGAGGCTATTCATTTATCCTGTGGACTGATACCCCACATGCACACTGGGAAATGATTTAACTGAAAATCAGAAAGTTGCTTTTTTTTGAATCTACTTTTCCAGGCAAGTATGGACTTTGAAAAGTGTGTCAGTGTGTTCTTACCCTGATAAGATTTACATAGGGGTAAATTATAGGCCTCTACATATCTTCCTGTAGGTCTCGTGTACTTTCAGGGCTGCAGGCGTAGCATAATACAGACCTTGTAACCTAAAGAAGTGTTAACAGCTACAGTTCTCAAGCTACAGTCCTGGGTGGCTACTGATGGGACTAAGTTACAAACCTCTGGGCCTCCAAAACTTTCTCCACTGTAGGTTCTCTTAATCGAAACTCCCTTGATTTTTAACCCTGTTTGTGTTATACAACAAGAGAAGCAGGCCAGCAGGCACCAGAACCCTGACTATACAGTAAAGCTGGTGAAAATCAAATCTCCACACCCACATTCTCTCACTCCTGCTACCACTAGTGAAGACATACCAGGGAAAAGGACGTTAAAAGATGGGAGGGATGAAGAATGCCCTAAATATGAAGAGGCTTGATGGTGAAAACCCAGGTGCCATGACTTGTGTCAGATGCCGCAAAGGCTTGTCCTCAGTGCATGACATCCGTGTGCCACATGTGCACAAAATGCAACAGGGTAAGTCAAGGAAAGACTTTCAACTTTATAAATTTATTGCCTTTGCCAGTTTGTTTTGCATTAGTAAATGTAGTTTTCTTGTCTTGTTTATTCAGATTGATCTAGATATATTTATCTCCAAAATAAATAAATAAAGAGCTCTCAAAAAGCTTCTCTGCATTAGTAAGAAAAGGGGGGGGGGGGGGGGGGGGGGGGAAACAACAAGCCCTCACCTTCTGAATCATGAGCCAGGTCTCTGTTAATGAATTTTCTTTTCCTGACATTTGTCGGTCTCTCATTACAGTTTCTCCCACGCGGATTCTATAAACAGGAAAGATCAGTTACTTTAGAAATCTGAGGTTTGAGATTTGGTTGGGTTTGTTTTGGGCTTTTTGTAATTAATCAGGAATATGCAAACTTGGCATAAATTCTTTATATTTTCAAACAGGGACTTCTTGCCAGCCTTCAATTTCAAACAAAAGATATTGCTGAGCACCTAATATCCTCCCAAAGAGTCCTATATCTAAATGCAACACATTTCTATCTATCTATGTAGACATCTATTTGTACAATACATATATAATGTGCTCAAGCAGCAACACAATGCCAATCGTATTTTTAGCATCTAAAGTATACAAACCTACACAATAGCCCATAAATCCCCATAGCATAAGCTATGCAGGAGAACCCAGACATGAAATTATAATAGACTGCTTTGTTTCCCTGTGTTACTTATAAAATTGTTTGCAAAGTCCTGAAAGAAAAAAAAAAAAAACAGAGAGGGGAAAAAAAAGGTTAATGTTTGCCTCAACTTCATTCTTTTGAACGTTGCAGGCAAACGCAGCCAGAAACTTTGAATGCAGCTGCTGCTGCTCTCGCCTCCCTCATCCGCTAATCATGTGCATGATTTTTTAATCATCCCAAAACTGTCTTTAAAAGAACACGATGCTTTATTGCAATAACTAAGAAGATAGGCTCATCTTGCAAGCAAAGCTCCCAGATGAAGAGTCGCCCCTACAGCCGTAACAAAGCAGAGACTGTGTCTGTAAAACTCCCCCACAGAAATAAGTCGGAGTCAAGTTTATAAACACCAACTTTGAACTGATCACTCACATTGGTGACCATGTAAGGCACTTGCTGGTCATAAAATCCATCCATTCTGCAGCTCTTCCACGAGTCTTAGCTCAGTGTTTTTTATTTACTGGGCATTTGATCTGGAGATTTCCTCGGGATCTGGACTCCAATCAGCCTAGAGGGGAATACAAGATGGCTTTTAGATTTAAAAAAAAAAAAAAAAAAAAAAAAAAAAGAGGCAGCATGAATGAACTCCTTGCATTTGCATACCTAATTAACCTCAAAGAGTCCCATTCATAAAAACAACCCTCCCTTCTCTGCCTTCACCTGGGTTACACGCTCCTGCCAGCAAAACGCGGAGGAGCAAAAGCACTCGGCGGCGGCCGGCGGAGCGAGAGGCAGGGCTTTATTTACACTGCGCGCCGCGCCCGCGGGCGATCCGCGCCGGCGGCAGCCCCGGCTCTCGCAAGCGTGTGCTCAACTCGTAATGGCGAACGCGGGGCTCGCCGCGCACCTCGCGGCGGCGGCGGCGCCCGGCGGCCACGCACTCACCGCCCTCACACACACACACACACAGACGGACACACAGACACACACACACACAGACACGGCCCCCCCGCCCCGCGCACCAGCCACCTTCTCCCACAGGATCGCTCCCGCAGCCCCACCGCCGCCGCGCAATCCTGCGGGGCGGCGGGCAAAGTTGCGGGGGAAGACCCACCTGAAGGCCACGCGCGGCGATCGGCTGCAAAAAAATTCCCTCCAAATTTAATAAAAACATTAATTATTCCCCGGCACTTCCCCCTTGGAAGCCGCGAGCGCCACTGACAGAGCTCAATCCCGTGGTTTTTCCTCTCCTCCTCCTCCAGGGGCCCCCGAGCCGCGCCGGCGGATCCCCGCCGCCCATTGGCTCCCCGCGCCCCCCGCCGGATCGCCGATCGCCGCGGCCCGCCCGCCCCGGCCCCGGCCCCGGCCCCGGCCCCGCCGCCCCGCCCGGCCCCGCGGGGGGCGACTCCCGCCGCGGCCCCGGCCCGCGGGGCAGCGCCTCGGAAGTGGCGCTCGGGGGCCCGCCGGTAGCCCGGGATCCTGCCGCGGGCACGCCGTGTCCTCTACGCCTCCCCGGGGTGGCAGGGCAACCCCTTCCATTCACAAAATTTAAATTATTTAAAGAAAAAGTTTCGCCTGCCTGACTCCGTAAAGCGAAACGCACCCCCCACGCACACGCGCGCCCTTTCTGGCGGCGCAGCTGCCCCGCAAAGCGCCGCGGGCGCCCGGAGGTGAGCGCGGCCAGAGACACTTGGTACCGTTTTGTCCGGAGCTGGTGGCATCCCGGGGCTCATGGCTGCTCTCGGTTTGGCTTTTTTTGTCGGGCGTTTTTGGTTGGCGGGTTTGGGGTGGGTTTTTTTTTGGTTCTTCCTTTTTTTTTTTTTTTTTTTTTTTAATTGAATCATAGAAAGCAATTTTTATTTCTACGAGGATGACATAATTTCTAGGTTTTGTGGACAGAATTTGGCAGCACCCATACACCGGATCTATCTAGGGGAATTTTTTGGTGTAGTGGTGCCAGGACCTACCAAGGTCAGGACTTCTGAGAACTTCTCTAAGAAAGCAAGCTTTCTGTTCTTTGGACAGAGTGGCTGTTGGAAGGCTGTGTCCAAAAACTCTTGCCTTTCTCAACAGCCAAGATGCACCAAAGCAGATTTGTGTGGTTTTGTAACAGCTATATTTGTCCTCCCTTTGAGCAGTAAATCCCAGGTATCGCAGCAATCAGGTGGTAAATTTAGGTATTCATGACGCTGTCTTGCTGTGAGATACAAAGTTTCAGGTTTCTATGATCTGATGTAGTTCAGCATTTAACAAGTAAAGCCCCAAAGCCAGCAAGCCCAGCTTCTCCCTCGGCCATTTCTGAGGGCTCACTTTATAGCTGACAGTGTAAAGCCAACTAAAGAAACCTGCTTTTGCATAATTTCCCTCTGGTGGTTTTAACAATATTCAGGTCACTTCTTCTGTACTACTTTGTTTCAAAAACTATGGCTGTTTCATTACACTCTATTCTGGAGCATATTACTCTCTGCCACAACACTTTGATTGTCCTCCTTTCTGATCTCACCATCTATACTCACTTGTCCAGTACAGCTGAGGAAAAGAGAGGCACCATGTTCCCATCACTCCTGTCCTTCCCATATGGCCTTCACAGGGAAAACATCCACCACCAGCAGCTTGTTTTTTGTGTTCTTGCTCCTTCTGTTTTCACACACCCATCCCAGCATACCTGCAATTACAAGAGAGTAATGTTATTCTAAATGTAAAAACCTATGATAATTTTATTCTGTTCTTGACCAAGTCTCTCAGTTGTTCCTGTAAGCCACTTTTGTGATACAATAATTGCTAATTCTACCCCCCGCCATGGGCAGCTCTCACTACACCAGATTGCTCAAAGCCGCATCCAGCTCAGCCTTGAGCACTGCCAGGGATGGGGCGTTCACGGCTTCTCTAATGAGGCCGTCATTTTCTTATTTATACCCATACTCAAACTGGAGCAGCTGCTGGGCTTATGGGAAGGCTGTGGCTACACATACGACCCTGGGAAGCAAGTGGCCAATTTAACCCCTGGACCAGCAGAGCTAATGAAGCGACTGCCTCCAGCTGACCACCCCACCCCACTGGATGGATACCCTGAGCCACTCATCAACCAGCTCCCAAAGCACTGGACTTTACCACATAGTCTTCTAAAGCAAAATCAGTAATGGATTTTCTTGTCTTTAAACAGTGCACTAAAAATCGTTGGTGTGTCAGTCGGCCAAGGCAATTAAACCAACATCAAGTGAAGTTTCCAAAGTTACCTCAGAGCCATCACATATTAGGAATGGCCCATGAAATAATCACCCAAAATCACCCATGAAATTCACATGGGTTGGGTCCCACCTTGTACTTCCCTACACCACAACCTGCACCTTACAAAGTCTGGCACAGCACCGTGGCCACCTTCCAGCACACACCACCACCTCCCCTCCATGTGCACAATTTTGGCATCCTGCTTTACTGAGCTGTAGGAGGTCAACTCTCTGCAAACAGCCGAGCTCTCTGTGGTCCAGGCTGGGCTGTAACTCCGAGAGAAGCTGTGCAATAAATGCATCCTGGCAGGAGAAGCACTGTACTGCTTGCTGTTCCTCCTCATGCCACACATCTCTTCCCTCCTCCCTCTCTCTGGCCCTGTTACACATGCTAGGGAGGAAAGGAAGAGTAAAGCTGTTTTGAAGCCCTCTTTATCCTCATCTTTGTTCATCCACTGTGCTGAGTGGTACTCAGAAAAACTTCATTAACTATTAAGAGGAGGATGCTGTAGATGTAGTTCTATGTGCTGAATTGCAATTTGTATCATCATCAGTCATAACTGTCTCATATGTTAACTGGTGAAGGCATAGTAATTACTTTGTAATTTTACATGCTTGTTCAAAATTCTTGCAACTTTTGGGGTTTTTATAAAGTTTTTGTGTTTTAACTGCTCTTTTTGGAAAGAGTAGTTAAAACATAATTACTTTAAATAGTACTGTATTATTAAATATCTTTTCCTTTTAAATAATCCTTTTAGAAAATGAAAAATTAACTTCAAAATCACTTCCATTTTTAGTTGAAAAGGTGGAACAGATTTTACCCAATTGAAAATATCCAAAAAATGTGCTGAATTTATTTTGCTATAAGAAATTATTTTTAAATCAACTTTTCTAATAATACTGCTTTAGAAATAAGATACTAGCTCCCTTTTACAAACAGACATGTTCAAGTAATCTATAAAGCGTCACTATATATTGAAAATTATATATTATTTCCATTTCTTAATGGCAATATATATTTCACACATTTATTTGAAAGTGGACAAGGAAATCTATATTTTCTGTTCAATTTGACACCCTCATCAAATTATGCTTATACTGAAGAAAATCCTTCAGAAAAGGGACAGTCACAATTGGAGCATAATATGCAGGTACATTTCAAAGCTACGTTTAAAAAACCTAGGTTTTTTAAATACTAGATTTTGGAAATTGTTTTCCTTTATCTATTCCTTCCAGGCATTTCCCAGTAAAACTTTGATGTCACTGATGAGCCTGACAGACAACAAAAAGGACGCCCTCCATCCAAACTGTTGAGCAGGAACTTTTAAAACATAGTATATAGAAGACTCATTAAAATAACAACTGCATATGTGACTGACTACAGCAAATCCATGAAAACCTAATGAGATTTCTGTCTGGTAAATTAACCCTTGACCACATTTTAACCTCTTGACGCTGACTCTTTAAGAAGATTAACAGTGCTTATTTTATCATGATGTGTCATAGTGTCATATAACAAAATAGTATATAACATCAAAATTTAAAAGAAAAAAACAGAGAAATTAATAGGGCAGATATTTGCCCAACATTATGGCTTTCTGTAAAGCCTTTGTTTCAAATGCAGCATCAAGGACTAAACCTTAAATCAGGAAAAAGGAATGTACCAGTAGGAAGAAATAAAATGGTGATTATATTCATGTGTGAAACTATGAGATGTGGAATTAAAAGTACGTGCAAACAAGTATCTTCAATGAAAAAAGAAAACAACAGTGTTGTTTTCTGTTTGACTATATGAATTACCAGCACATTGCATACATCATTGTCATTTAGACCTAGAATTACAAACCTAGAGGCCTCCATAACCAACTGCATTTCAATGTCTGTTTAACTGATAATGCAGTGTAGGGCAATTTTCAGAAAACATTTATGTACTAGAAAATTATGCTACACGGGAAAACAAAAATTAGAATATTTCACAATGAGTGCAAGAAATTAAAATTCCAGACAAGTCTTTTATTGCAATGTGTGCCAACCATACCCTGGGCTTCAAGAAGAAGTGTGACCAGGAGATCAAAGGAGATTCTTCCCCTCTCCTCTCTTCAGGGCAGACCTCACCTGGAATACTGCATCCAGCTCCTAAGCCCCCAAAATAAAAAAGATGTAGACTTGTTGGAGAGGGCCACAAAATTGATCATAGGATTTGGGAACCTGTCATATAAAGACAGACTGAGAGAATTGGAGTTGTTCCACCTGGAGAAGAGAAGGCTCCAGGGAGAGAGACCTTATAGCACCTTCCAGAACATAAAGAGGTCTACGAGAGAGATGGAGAGGAAGCTTTTATGAGGGCATACAGTGACAGCACAAGGTGGGAGCAGTTTTAAACTGAAAGAGGGCTGCTTTAGATTAGATTTTAGGGAGAAACTGCTTACTATGAGGGTGATGAGGCACTAGAACAGTTTTGCAAAGTGATGGGTATCCTATCCCTGGAAGTGTCCAAGACCAGGCTGGGTGGAATTCTGAGTAATCTGGTCAAGGTGTCCTTGTCTACAGCAAGGGGGCTGGAACTAGATGACCTTTAAGGTCTGGTCCAAGCCAAACCATTCTGTGATTCCCTGAAAGATGAAAAGTAAGTTAAGTTTAAAAATATTTTCAGCCTTCATCATAACCAAGACTTCAAAGTATAAAAGCTTTAGAGAGGAAAAGGCTTGGCAACTCAGAGCACTGGCCCAGTTGTTGGAGCAGAGTAACCTCAGTATTGTTCTGGATCTCCTAATGGTCTTCTGGGTAATTCCTACACAGGCACCCCCTGTCATCTCACTGGGGGTTTTGTCCCTATAAAGTGAGATATTGAGCATTGAGTTCTTGAGTAGTGTTGACCATAATAGTCTATTACTATTGATTGTGGAGATACTAGCTGCATCTAGCTTCTTGGATTTTCCTAATCTAGTTCCTTCTGAACCTTTG